AGCACTTAAGCCAGGTAAGGTCTTCCCACTCTCTGAATGCACATATTGGCAATGTTCTGGTTCTAAACTGAAAATGTCCTTTGCCTGAGATTAAATTGCTACTTGACATTCTGGAAAGCTACAATACAAAGAGATGGCAGAATAAATTCCAAAGTTCAATTGAGTAGAGCAGGATGTTAAGAAGAGAACATTTTTTTTCTTTTGTCTCTATGTCAGCAGATGAAAGCATATAAAAACATAAAAAAATATTAATTACAAGTTAAAAATATCTCTTTCTCTTCCAAAGTGCTATGGTAAATTCCTTATAGTGGCTCCTTGTACTGAGGGAGTAGTTTCAAAACTGATCGTCTAATGCTAGCATCCACTACCACACTGAGGAATGAAGAGACAATATTATCACAGGAGATTCACTGTGCATTCATGCCTACTTCCACAAAGTGAAGCACACTTCCCATTCCTTTATTTGAGTTTCAATACATGTTGAAAGTTTAAACCCTGAAATGATATTAGAGGGTCACAGTGAATTGATATCTCATTAGCCAAACTTTGAGGCAGAGTGCCAGAATCCTAATGGAAGAAAAGGAAAATAGAAATACCTGGAGGCGACAGGAACTCCAAAAGAAAAAAGAAAAAAAAAAAAAAAACAAAGCCAAAAATACCTTGGGCAAGGGGATACTGTAGAGACAAATACTCCCCCAAGGACCATGCATAGAGAGGACCTAGACCCCTGGCTCAAAGGAAACCCATTGGCTTCTCAGTTTCCAAGTGGGTTCCCTAGTAAGGGGAACAGGGGCTGTCTCTGACATGAACTCAGTGACCAGCTCTTTGATCACCTCCCCTTGGGGAGTGCAGCCTTGCCAGGCCTCAGAGGAAGATGATGCAGCCAGTCCTGATGAGACCTGACAGGCTAGGGTCAGATAGAAGGGGAGAAGATCCTCTTCTATCAGGGGACTAGAGAAAGGGCCCAGGGGGAGAAGAGGGAGAGTGGGTGGGACTGGGAGGAGACAAGTGAGGGAGCCACAGCCATGATACAAACTGAATAAATTGTAAAAAATAAATATACAAATAAAATTAAATTTAAAATAAGATATAAACAGGTACCTAGGCAAAATGTTATAGGTAGGCGCTCCCCAGTTGAGCAGGAAGAGAGCCCAGTAGAACGCTTGGTACTGTAATGTTGAATTATGGATTTCTGATGGGCCAAAAAAAAAAAAAAAAAGTAAAAACTCAAGCAGAGTTGTGTACAGGCACTTATCTAAATACAACTGTGTGTATTACTTCAAGAGACAACCAATAGGGGCATCCATTTGAAACACTGGAAACAGAGACCCCCTTGGGAAGGGCACCCCCCTCCAAACTGTATGCATTCCTAAATTAAATGCTCAAGCTTCGCCTGTGTGCTAAGGACTGTGATTCCATCATTTTTCTTCTCCATTACCTTGTCTGCTTCTTAACTTTACAATTAAGAGACAGATCAGTGAGTGACCGTTCTATGTATAATATTCTACTGGTCAACGTAAAAGAACATGGTAGCACTCAACTGATACATGTTGGGAATTTTATAGAACAATTGTCTTATCCTTTTAAGCACTATTTCTTTCCGTATTTAAAATAAGTAGTGAGTGAATTTCATCTTTAAGCAGTAAGCTCAAATGCCTACCAGAATCTGCTTTGTCATTATACATGTATAAAGGTAGAAGAGCTTTTTTAAAAGCATGTAATAGTTCTTTACTGAATCAGTAATAACCTTCCAGAGACTATCACCAGTAAATTCTAGGAAACATGTATGTCTCAAGCAATACCAATTTGGTTCCAGAAAATGGGAGAAAAGAAACATTTTTAACTTATTCTAGGGAGCAACCCAGTTCTTATACCAAAATCACACACAGAAAAACTACAGACCAGTCTTTTTCATGAGCATAATTTCAAAATCTTTAACATAATATTGTTAAGTCAATTCAACATTATATAAAAAGAAATTAAATATGGTAATCAGGTGGAATTTATTCAACTATGCAAGACTTGTCTGCCATTTAGCAATCAGTTTATACTATGCATCTACCTACCACTCAACATCAGGTTAGAATGTGCTGTAGCTAATAGAAAAAGAAAAAGAAAATGGGTGGATATTGGAGAAAAATATAATAACATTTTTGCCTGAAAACAATATTATCTATAGAAAAATAAAAAGTCAAAAAACACTTTTGGAAACAATAAGTTGTTGTAGCAAGACTTAGTGGTACATATTTTTACCAAAAATTAAGTTATATATTATCAACAAACAAGTGAAATATACCATTTATATTAGCAAAAGCATTGAAATATTTAAGTATAATCTAACAAAATACACAAGAAGATATCTGTATTAGAGAAACTATAAAACTCTAAGTAAAGAATTGTTGTTTTGTTTTTTTGTTTTGTTTGTGTTTTGAGACAAGGTTTCCCTGTGTAGTCCTAGCTTTCCTGGACTTGCTAGGTAGACCAGGCTGACTTCCAACACTAAGATCTACCCGCCTCTGCCTCCTGAGGCCTTGGGATTAAAGGTGTGCTCCGCCACTGCCTGGCAGGAAAGAATTTTTTTTTTTTAAGACAAATACAAATAGAAAAATACAGTTGTAGAGCTGTTTCCTCCGAATTGAAACATTCCCTTCACTAGGAAGACTCGAGGGAAACAAAAGGTCACATTCTAGAAAGTGGAAATTTGCAAGATTCTGGAAACTAGCCCTTATAATTGCAGTAAACAGACGCCACATAACCAGTCAGGCTGGAGAGAAATATTTCTTCCACCTGGCCAGCTTCCCGGTTGCAGTTTTCAGGAGTGCTACGCTTGCACAGGCTTCTGAAGACAGCACGACTGTCTTGAGTCACTTCTTCTGTGTGTTAAATCTCAACCGTACTTCATTAAAAGCTCATCAGTTCACCAAATTGGACTTTGATTCAATGATTATTTTCTCTGTTGTGTATTCACTCTCTGGTTGCTAAAGGATATGTATGTTTTGTGACTCCTAAGGAGGAGCCTACCATGTAATGGATAGTCATGAGTAGAAATAACGTCACTGGTTTGTCCCAAGCTGACATATATATATTCAATGACAACTATAATTGTAATTCTAGAAATTTATTGTATGGATATCAACACACTGAAGTTTTTACGAAAAGGTGTAAGGCCCAGAACAGCCAAAAGAATAAGGAGGAACAAAACAAGAATACTATGAACAAACTCTATCTTTCTTCAAGGCTTATGGTTTTAGTAACCAAGGCAGGATTATGTTGATGACAAACACAGACAGCTAGATCACTGCAATAGACTAAAGATCAGAAATGGACTCATGTACATAGAATGGAGTCATTATTTATAATTGTATCCTACATAATTGTCAAATTGTGAAGCAATCAAAGCATCAGTTGATAAATACTTGATAAAGATTATAAATATTTGATAAATACAAATATTTGATAAAGATTAACTGTTCATCCATATTACTTAGAGCTAAAGAGAAATAAACTCTCAAGTCTTAAGTGAATTTTGAGAAACTTATCACGTAGTGAATGAAGCTATACTGTAAGAGTGGGTCACCACACCACTCTTAACTACGTGTCATTATGGAAAAGGCAATGCTAAGAAGAGAGCACAATACCTGGAGGTGCCTAAATTCAGGCAAAGAAAGGTGGATATGTAAGCGGGACAACAAACATAAAGCTAAGAGGAATGGGAGCTGGAGCAAAGGAAGCTCCAGTGCAAGTATCTCCGAAATGCATCCTGGAAGGAAGCCAAATTAGCTTAGAGGGTTGAGAATACAGTAATGACTGCTCAGTGCTCGTGCTGTGAAGCTTATTAAAATAATGTAATAGAGTCTCAATTATTTGTGTGACAATCAGGTTAAGAGAGAAACTAAGAAGCAAACACTGTTTTGTAAAAATAACATTTACAGAGAAATAAGTCTGATCAACACACAAAGGGTAGAAGTTAAGTAGAGTAATACATAATTAGAATTAAGCTCATGGAAATTCTTTAGTTCAGATTTCTGTGTATTTTATCAAAGTCAGGAATAAAATTTTACAAATATTCTGAAATGGTAGTGAGTAATGAATGGCAGGAAAATAAATGACAAAAAGAGAGATTAACAACAGAGAGATAATTAATAGATTCCAGAGAGATAAACAAATAAAAATCTACATGATAGATAATAAAATAGATAACAGATAGATAGATACACAGATAGGCAGTTTTTTGCCAAAAAGAGACTATTTCCTAGTTGTTGTTGTTTTGTATTATTTTTGTTTCTCTTCCCCTCTCTCTCTTTCATCTTGTGACACAGGGTTTCTCAGTATAGCTCTGGATGTCTTGGACTCACTTTGTAGGCTAGGCTGGCCTCAAACTTGAAGAGATCTTCTTGCTTCTGCCTCCCAACCACTGGTATTAAAGGTGTCCATCCCCACACCAGGCTGAAAGACTATTTCTAACAATTATCTTGAGGACAGAGTAGAAATAGAAGTGTAACAATAATAATTTTAAAAGACCATGAATTAAAGATGGGGTTAGGGAGAAAAGAGAAAGGACAAAATGCAATTACAATTTAATTTAAAAAAATATTTAGAAAAACAAAGACTAGACTACACAGATTAGAAATCAATGCCTGCAATCCGGGTACTCATGAGACTGGGGCAGAAGGATCTTCAGTTCAAGAACAACCTGGGTTGTATGGCAAGAACTTGTCAGGCCACCCCTGACTGAGACAGAGACTGTGGGTGGGGAGAAAGACACAAAGGCACAGAATAAAATGTGAAGGAAGGGAAAGAATTAAAAAATTAATTGAGGCAAGGAATAAAATACATAAGTAGTTCTAAGAACACAGCAACACCATAATAATCTTCAAACCTTAATAGAAAGTTGGAGGTTTATTTAGATATCCACACAGATCCAAGGAAGTTAAGATCAACAGTACCTATTTGACTTCCTATCTATACTTCACATCTAGATAATGATTAAAAGTACTTACATGTTTGTTGAGTTATCTTTGTTTTCCTCAGTAAGTTGAGAATGTTCTGTTGAATCTAAGTATGAGCCCTCTTTAGAAAATAAAGGATTTGCTTTCAAGCTTTCCTCTTGAATCTTACTTTCTATTAAATTAGTATCTTGTTTAGGAAGAGAAAAGTAGTTTTCAATATTCCAATGGCTTGCCTGAAAAATGGAAATCTATTTTAATAAAATGGATTTTCATCAAACATTTATGTGCATTTATCATGTATAAGATTTTTAAATGAACTCATGGATAGTCACAAACAAAAATGACCAAGACTAGCTTATATTATCTCATACATTATCTTGTAAGATATATTATACGTAATATGTAATATGTAATATAATATACAATCTCATAAGTTATATTACATCTTGTCTTATATTCTTGTAAGGGAGATAAAATGTATATAGTTTTTGAAAAGATAGAACATGAACTGCATCATAACAAGAAAGTATATTATCCTGCAAAATTATAAAGAAAAAAAAAGTTATTGTCACTTAGACTTTTATTACCTGAAGCAAAAGAAGATTAAAAATAACAAAAAACTTTAAGTCAAAAACTTTACAATTAATTATTCTGTTACTTTCTGTGTACTCAACTTCTTAAAAAAAATCCTCAGAAACAAATCTAGGTATTAAAATTTCCTAGAAAATTGTATACATCAGTTTTCATGGGCTTTGGCTACAATGGCTCCTGTTTACATATTTTGTATCTTGCACACAATATTAATTTTCTTGTATGCAATCAGCACATAGACATGCTTGGTGACACATCATACACATAAGGTAAATAGATTTCCAGAGATATTTAACTAGTGTAGAAATAGGTCTACCTTGTCCTAAAAGGTTTACAAAGTAAAAATTTCAGACGATTTCTCCTGCTGTGACAAAACATCATGACCAAAAAGAAGTTGGAGAGGAAAGAGTTTATTTGGCTTAAACTTCTATTGCTGTTCATCATCGAAGTAAGGACAGGAATTCAAACACAGAAAGAACCTGGAGGCAGGAACTGATGCAGAGGCCATGGAGGGGTGCTGCTTACTGGCTTGCTCCCCATGACTTACTTAGCCTGCTTGCTTACAGAACCCAGGACCACCAGCAGAGGGAAGGCCCCACCCACCATGAACTGCCCCTCCCCCCGTCCATTAATAAAATGCCTTAAAGGCATGCCAACAGTCCCTTCTTATAGATTTTCACTGCTCTCAGATTAGTCTGTGTCAAGTTGACACAGGAGCCAAGCAGAGCATGTTAGGAAATGTACTGAATTAAATATGAGACAAAAACCGAGGGGGAAAAAAATGACATTTTTGTGTGTGTGTCTCTTTACACACAATATGCAAAAATAGAAAATGTACTGGCTGCCAGTGGTCCTGATTGATGTAAGGAAGCTGCTTTGGTTTAAGCACACAAAGATTATGTCATCCAAAGACTTGAGTGTTGAGTGTTTGGTCCTTAGTAGGGTGGTGTAAGAAATTCCCAATCCCCATCCTGAAAGGCAAAGAGGAAGGACATCAGAAGAAGAAGAAAACAGGAAACAAGCTAGAAACTCACCACGGATGGCCTCTGAAAGGCTCTGCCCTGCAGACTATCAAAGCAGATGCTGAAGCTTATGGCCAACTGTTGGGCAGAGTGCATGGAATCTTATGTAAGAAGTAGGAAATAGTAAGATCCGGAGTGGACAGGAACTCCACAAGGAGAGCAACAGAACCAGAAATTTGAACACAGGGGTCTTCCCAGAGACTCATGCTCCAACCAAGTACCATGCATGGAGATAACCTAGAACCCCTGCACAGATGTAGCCCATGGCAGTTCAGTGTCCAAGTGGGTTACATAGTAATGGGAAGAGGGACTGCCTCTGACATAATCTGATTGGCCTGCTCTTTGATCACCTCCCCATGAGGGGGGAGCAGTCTTACCAGGCCACAGAGGATGACAATGCAGCCACTTTTGATGAGAACTGATAGACTAAGATCAGAAAGAAGGAGAGGAGGACCTCCCCTATCAGTGGACTTGGGGAGGGGCATGCGTGAAGAAGGGGGTAGGAGGATGGGATTGGGAAGGGAGGAGAGAGAGGCTTATGGGAGGGATACAAAGTAAATAAAGTGTAATTAATAAAAAAAAAAAAAGATGTAGGTTCTAGGATATTGAGAAACTGCCCTTTGAAAGGGATTAAGGCGATTCTCTGAAACCCTGACTGATATGTCACAGAGCATTCATGGCCTTTCACAGCCCTCTGCCTTCCTTTCTCACCCCAATTATACCCACTTTGCACATATCTCCATCAGGCTGTGGCATCGTCCATGAAGAGATGCAGCCTGGGAGCCCTAAAAAAACTTATGCCATAATATTTGTACTAAATAAACTGCTTTTTAAAATAACACACCTAGTGTTATTTTATATCACTTGAGTTTTAAAACAAAAGGCATAAATACAGGGATCACAGAAATTCTTGGGTAATGACATTGGTTCTTTATTTCGTTTCGGTTTCTGGGTTTTAGTTTTTTGAGACACTCTCTGTGTAGCCTTGGCTCTTCTGGATTCACTCTGTAAAATTCGCAGAGATCTGCCTGCCTCTGCCACACCAAGTGCTGGGATTACAGGTGTGTGCCGTCACACCCAGTGGCTCTTATTTTTTAAATAAATACTTTATACAATATATTCTAATTACAGTTTCCTCCTCAAATCTAAAATTGTCCCCACTGTCACGCACATAAATCCATACCGCTTATTTTTCTTTCTCGCATTATAATAGAAATTATTGATAAATTAATTATCTGGTCTTGACTTAACTTTGGTAAGAGATGCCTATTGAGAAAATTTATCCATTTCATATAGAGTTTGAAATTTTGTGAAGTACAGGTTTTTAATGTATGTCCTTATGGCTCTCTGGATTTCTTTGGTGTCTGTTATTATGTCCCCCTTTACATTTCTAATTTTGTTAATTTGGATATTCTTTCTCCATCTTTTAGTTGGCTGGATAAAGGTTTGTCTATCTTACTGATTTTCTCAAAGAACCGACTCTGTGTTTCATTTATTTTTTTGTATTGTTCTTTGTTTCTATTTTATTGTTTTCAACCCACGGTTTTCTATTGTTTACTCCTTGTGGATATGCTTCCTTCTTTTTGTTCTGGAGCAATTCCACTTAACTTGTTCGTCACAACCATCAGAAAGCATATATTCCAGAGAGACTTAGGAACCCCCAATCATAATTTTACTTTTGTTGCTACTTCATTACTCCAATTTTGCTACTGAGAAATATCTCAGCTTCTAAGACCATCATAATATGTATTTTCCGTTCATTGGTCATGATTGAGAACCAGTATTCTAGAAATATCAGGAGTGCTGTTAAGCTGCTAGAATAAAATCTATCCAACTTTTTAATGTAAGAACCTAGTGCTACAGACTTTCTTCTTAGCACCATTTTCATATGTTTGGGCATACTATGTATTCATGTTCCCTGAATTCTAGAAACTCTTTAATATTTTTCTTTATTTCTGTCTTGACCCATTTTTCATTCAGTAAAGACTTCTTCATTTTCCATGAGTTTATAAGCTTTCTGTTGTTTCGGTTGTTGATATCCAGTTTTAATCTATGATGGTCTGAGAGAGTACAGGGTTTGTTTGTTTGTTTTGTTTTTTCACTTTTACTATATCTAAGATTTGTTTTGTGTCTGAGTGTGTGGTCAATTTTGAAGAAAGTTCCATGAGGTGCAGGGGAAAAGGTATATTCTTTTCTGTTTAGGTGAAAAGCCCTGAAATACCTGTTTGGTCCATTTGGTTTACAGTATGTTAGCTACAGTAGTTCTCTGTTTCTTGGTCTTGATGATACATCCATTGGCAAGAGCTGACTATTAACATTTACCTCTGTGTGGGGAGTGGGAGAAGGCAGTATATGATTTAAGCTGTGGTAGTGTTTCTTTTACAAACTTGGTTTTCCTTGTCTTTGGGGCATAGATGGTATCAATTGAAATGTCATCTTGGTGGATTTTTCCTTTGATGAGTATATAGTGTCCTTTTCCATTTCTTTTGATTACTTTTGATGTGAAGTTTATTTTGTTAGATATTAAAATGGCTACATAAGCTTCTTAGTCCATTTACCTGGTATATGTTTTTCTAACACTTTAATTTTAGGTATTGTCTATTCCTGATATTGAGTTGTGTTATTATTATTTCTATTTCCATTTTCTTGATTCTTTGTCCATCTCTTTCAACTGATTCTTTGTATTTTCCTGGCTTTCTTTAGGGGTTTATTCATTCTTCCCTTTTTTGTTTTTGTATTCTTGGATTCCTTTGGGAGACTTACTTGTTTCCTTCTTAAGGATGTATGTTATCATCATACAGTTGGTTTTAAGTTCTTTTTCTTGTGCTTTTGCTATGTTACAATACAAAGAGTCTGATGTGTTAAAATACAGTTAAAATGTCTCCTCTAGAGGAGACATACTGTCCTGACTGTTGTTGTCTTCTTATGCTGGCATTTGTTTTTGGGATGATTGGAGGTGTGGGTGCTGATTTCTGGGTTTTTCTTTGTTGGGTGGGTGTTTTATTCCTTCTTTTCCTCTTCCTTGCTGGATTATTGAAGTGTGTGATGGCTGTGTTTGGCCTGAGTTGCTGGCTTGCTCAGCTGGTGTGTTCACAGGAAAAGTCTGCAGGTGCTGGAGGCTGGGATACAGTGAAGAGTGGGAAAAGGGAAGTCAGAAGGGGATGATCATGGGATCCATGGGAGATGTAGACCCACGGGGAGAGAAGCTGTACCTGGTGATCTACTGCAGTGCTAGGGACTACCCTGAGGGATTGAGTCTAGAGGGCCACACAGAGAGAACACATCTGCAGGCAGCCTACCTGCTTTTCTGGTGGGCGTGCCCTGTGGTTGAGCAGGAGATTCCTATTGCCATTGGGGGATGTGATACAGTGACTAGTGGGGGTGAGGAAGTTTAAAAACGGTTAGTCTGTGAGATCCACAGGAGGTGAGTGTGAGAGGAGATGCGAGGTCAGGGTGGGGAGAAGAGAGGCTACAGCTGGTGAGCTGTTGCAGTGCTAGGGATGATACTGAGAATTTTTTTAAAAAATATTCTATAAACAGTATGTTCAGTAATCATGAGCCACCATCTCTTCATGTCTCATGTGCCGTCCTCCTCAAGGAGCCAGTTGTAGTTAGTGGTAATCAGGGGAAGTGGTAGCAGAGTTACAGCTTCAGAACTGCACGTCAGTTCAATCATAAGGAGTAAACTTTAGATAGCAGAGGATATACTCTCATGGAATAAGCCCAGATTCATACTAAATGCCAAATAAATTCTAGAATTACAAAGAAAGATTGTGCATACCTGACCAAAGATCAAGGCAGGAGCACTGGAAAGTCCAGTCACACAGACACTGCAGTCTGCAGAGGAGGAAATGATAAGCAAATGACCACCTGACTCACATATCTCCAAGGAACTTATCCGGTCTTCGTGGAGTTGAAACGATCTGAGCAAAGTTGGAGCCTGGGTGATTCTGCTCTCAGTGGAACTAACACAATAATCCTGAGTGAAAATAAATACTCAAACTTTAAAAACTACAAATATTAAATGAAGTATAATAACACCACTGTTTTTAAAGCCTCATGTGCAAATGGGGAAAAACATCCATTTAGAAATGATAACTTATGATCCACATTCAAGAGAGAGATCATGATGATAAAGGTTAGAAGAAAAATAGTAATGTTGAAAAAAAGTCTTGACACTGAAATGACCAACTTTAGAAAAAAAAAAAAACAGAAAGATAGTAGACAGAAAGGAAACATGTACAATGTAAGTCATTATCTAATAGAAAGGAGCTTGGCCACATAGAGAGACCTAACATTGCATTATCCTATGAGTTTTTTAATGGAGTGGGCCATTGGTTATTTTTAACCAACTGACTCAGGCTGGTGATAACAGATGAAGGATGAGTACACTAGATGACATTTAGAATTTATTTCATTGAAAATGTATGTGACTATTTACTTCAAAGAGTGCTACAGTGAAGTACTGACAAGCCAGCATTCCAGCAATGGGCAATTAACCTGGTTGTATATTGGTTGTGTATTAACAAGATTCAACACTGAGAAAAATCTCTTTCTGGTTTTGTGTGTATGTGACAGAGAGAAAATGAATTACTTTTCTAAAGTCTCTGCTAGACCTCCTGCTCAGATGAAACCCATTGCAGCCCAGTCTCCAAATGGGTTCCCTAGTAAGGGGAACAGGGGTTGTCTCTGACATGAACTTAGTGGCCAGCTCTTTGGTCACCTCCCTCTTTGGGGAGGGGTGTGTGTGCAGCCTTGCCAGGCCACAGAGGAAGGCAATGCAGTCAGCCTTGATGAGACCTGATAGGCTAGAGTCAGATAGAAGGGGATGAGGTCCTTCCCTATCAGGAGACTAGGGAAAGGGCATAGAGGGAGAAGAGAGGGGGAGGGTGGGACTAGGAGAAGAGGGAAGGGGCTAATGTGGGGATACAAATTGAAGAAATTGAAATAAATAATAAACCAACAAGCAAACAAATAAATAAATAATATAAAAAGAAAAATTAAATGTGAGAATCTATATATGATAGAGATAAAAAAAAAAGTCCAGATGGGATGTGCATTGAACGTATGACAGGAGTCTACTGAGCGCATTTGAAAGACTCTACCTAGCAGTGTTTTCAAAGCAAAGACTCATGACCAAACCTTTGGCAGAGTACAGGGAATCATAAGAAAGAAGGGGAGTTAGTCTGATGAGGAAAGGATAGGAGCTCCACAAGGACCAAATATATCTGGGCACAGGGTCTTTTCTGAGACTGACATGCAACCAAGGACCATGTATGGATATAACCTAGAACCTCTGCTCAGATGTAGTCTGTGGTAGCTCAGTAACCAATTGGTTTCCCATAGTGAGGGGAACAAGGACTATTTCTAACAGGAACTCAATGACTGGCTCTTTGGCCTCCCCACCCCCCAAGGGAGGAGCAGTCCTGTTAGGCCACAGAGGAGAGCTTTGCAGCCAGTCCTGAAGATACCTGATAAAACAGGATCAGATGAATGGGGAGGAGGTCCCCCCTATCAGTGGACTTGGCAAGGGGCACGGTGGAGAGGAGGGAGGGAGGGAGGGACTGGGAGGGAATGAGGGATCGGGACAGGGCTGGGACACAGAGTTAATAAAATGTAACTGATAAATAAATAAATAAATAGATAGATAGATAAATAAATAAATAAATAAATAAATAAGTCTCTGTTCAAAACATGTAAATGGTTTCTTTAAGATACTCAGGACAGAGCCCTTCCACCTTTATCTAGGAAACAGACAAGATGTCACTCACATTGCCAGATAGTTTTTATGAGATCTTTTGCTTAAGATAATACTGATGATGGTATGAGAATATTTTCCGTTTACCTCTATGTTCCAGATTTTTAACCATCCATCAGTATCTCCAGTGGCAAGGTACTGATTGAGTTTATCAATTGACATAATAATGGATCCAACTCCTGCATGAGCCAGAAATTCAGCCAGAAGTGCTTTCTTAAATGTATCCCAGAACCTGACATGACCAGATGCTCCACATGATACCAGATTAGCACCTCCTATTAAGCAGGATGAAAAAAGCCTAATTAGGAAAATACACACAAAAATCTCAAAAATTGCTTTTTCCAGTGGCTCACTCTGTGAGGAATATATGAGAATGGAGAGGTCAGTAGCACTGCAATAATCCTATTCGGATTTTTCTAAATTATAAATTGGAGGTGATTTTTTTTATAATATTGCTTCCACATTAAGAAAATTTGTGTGGGTTATTCATGAGATAGGTAATATAAATTATTCCACTAAGGTTGGTTTTCTTCTGCTCAATTATTACATTGATATTATTTTCATTTAATTTAGATATAATTGATTTCCACTTTCCATAAATTTATAACATAATCACTTAAACATTGTGACTCTATTCTGACAAATTATAAAATATATTTTTCCTAATAAGCCACTGGACATGCACACAAAAGCCAACAACCCTCATACATAGATCCAGTTGCACATATGCCTTTATGACAGCACAGAAGTTGATTTTCAACTGAGCAGCAAACCATGGGTTCTATTTATGTGTTCATTTTTAAATCTTTATCCAGAAATTTATTGTATGCCTTCATGGAATCCTTTTTGTTGTTGTTAATAGATCTGGAACTAACCCTTTAACTTTCCATTTACAACACATGCTTTCACAAAGCATTTTATGCAAAGTATTCTTCTGGGGAAAATTTGTCATTAGATAAATCTGTACATGGCTTTCCTTTTGTTTCACAATTGTGCTGGTGATTAACAACACAGTTAAGGTGGACATGATAGCATGTTTGCCTCAGCAGAAACAGTCTAGAAATCTAACTGTAAGAGGAACATACAAGGGCATGAGAGTAATTTAGGATTATGTTTCATAATGTGAGGATAAGAATGTTCTGAAGAATAGTTTTATAATCTCTTCCAACTTCATCTTAAATATTCCATAAGGCTTCAAAATAAATGAAGGTATAACTTTATTGATAGAAAAAAATTCATATAGATATCATGCAGGGTTTCCATTTGAAAATTCAATGGGGAAAAGTGATTATACAAATATGGCTCAGATATGTTCATTTCTTTTTCCAAAGACATAACACTCATGTCTGGATCTCTAATGTTTTGCACACACACACCCACAGAGACACACACACAAATTGACTCTCAAAATATAATTTAGATGAAAATGGAGCAAGATGTATGCTGCATCCAAATCCTGCTATAAAAGTGGGCACATTGTTATTTTGTCTATAAACTAGCAGGTCCCCACAAAAGGTCACAGGATAGCCCAGTGAGAGAATCACAGGGGACTGTGACCTACCATAGAAAGTATAAACCAAATGCCAGTGATGCTCAGAGCATCCACAAACAATACTGATGGTGTGAACTGCACAGCCCTTGTGGTGGGATAGCCAAGCAGTCCAAACCTCCCCATGGATTCCAGTCACCAACCTCCTCAGTGCACTCCCTCCTCAGTACAGCCACAGATATCAGTCCTCACTACATGTGGACCTAAACATTGACTCATGTGTTTGTAGCCTGAACCTAACTATGCCCTCTGCCCTTCTCAAACCCTGCAGATTATGACTGAAATGCTGATATAAATTACCATATGAAATAATTGTTGGAATCGTTCTCACTCTCATCCCAACATAGACGATGGATGTATGTGGCAGATCCCTTCACCACCCTCCCCAGCCTGAGCTTCCTGTTCAAGTGTCCCCAGCTTTTCACGGACCAAGGCAGGCTTGATAGCTATGCAAAGTCAAATACCATTAGACCTAGACAACAAAATAGCTTGAACTTCCTTTACC